ATTTTGCCGCCTTCCGGGGCGCTGACTGCCCTTGTTGCTGCTCGGCAGGTGACGGCGACGCACGTCGTCGCGCGGGTGCCGCGGAGGGTGGACGTCGGCGCCGCGCTCAGGTCCTACGCCGACCCGCTCGTCGCGCAGGTGCCCGACCGCCCGCCGCTCGCCGACTCCTCCATCGTCTCCCCCTACACCGCCGCGCCGGACGACATCGCGCGAGCCTTCGGCGCCCCCGCATCCGAGCTCCCGCCGCTCCCCAGCGCCGACCCCAGCCCCGGGCTATGTTGCACGGGCACCGACCAGCCGCTCACGGCCGTCGCGGACCTGGCCGCTCCCGACCAGGCATCCGCCGCCGCCGCCACCGCCACCGCCGTGGTCAACTCGGGCCCCACCGACGCCGCAGAGCGGGCCCTGTCGGACGCGCCGTTCCCCAGCACGTTCCCGTCCGACGCGTCCGAGGTCGAGGACTCCGTGGCCAGGCTCATCGATAAGGTCGGCAAGCAGGTCTTCCAGGCGGAGGACGCGCTCACCGAGGCCTACGACAAGCTGAGGCTGTCGGCGTACGACGCGCTCGGTGCGTGGAGGAAAACGGTGCGCGACGCGATCGGTGGGCTCAAGGCGTCGGTCGACGCCGGTAAGGAACAGGCCGCCGGAGAGGTCACGGACGCGTCCGGCGCGTTGCAGGCGAAGGTGGCCGGAGCTGGGGCTGTGGCTGTTGATGTTCTTAGGAAGGCGATTGTTGCAGCAGAGAATTCACTGGGCAGTGCAGCCACATTCGTTGTGTATTCTTATGGGTCTGCAAAGGAGTCTCTACCACCAAATGTTAGAGATTTGTTTAGCTCGTCTGAGGAGAAAGCTAGTCTAGTTTTGAGACCAATCGGAAATGCTCTGCAACAGGTATGTACTTATTGATGTTCAGTCATTAACTTGTGTCACTTGTTCAGTCATTAACTTCACTGCTGTTCTCAGTGGGATGCTAAACACCTAGGCATGTCTAGTTGCATGAATGTTCCTCAGAGAAGTTCATTGTTGAAGTATCCACTGATAAATTTTAGTGCGTGCTGTGATTCAGGTATATGTAGCTGTTGAAGGTGTTGAAAAGAATGTTGGTTTGGATCCAAGTGATCCTATTGTTCAATTGGCAGTTGTGCTTGGAGGTTCAGTGACAATAGGGTAAAGGAACATTTCTTTGTTTTGCCTACCAAACCTCTAGTTGCGCCTTATTTGCAAAGCTCCTTCTAATTTTGGCTACATTGTAGTACAACGTACTGGCTCTTCATATACGGTGGCTATTCTGGAGACTTGTCACCTGAATCAGCGTTCGAGTTATTGAAAAATGATGGCAAAGCCGTACTTATTGATGTTCGGCCTGAGGCAAGATATTGTAAATCTCACTGGCCTTTTTCTTTCTTTTGTGTCCCTTTTCGTCTGAGCTCTTTCTTTAATCCAGTCCGTAATGCTAGAAGGGATTGTTTAGTCACCTTTTGTGCTGTTGCTTCAGTACAACAATGCTGCCAAACTATTTGAGGCAAGATATTGTAAATTTCATTGGCCTCCTCTTTATTTCATGCCCTGTTTCCTTGGAGCACTCCTTTGAATCCATTTCATAATACATAGCGCTTCAAATTTCTAGAAACAATTATTTAGTAGCCACTGTCTTCTTGTCTGAGTGCAATAGTTTATTGCATTCCTTTCATGCTCTCTATTTGTTACTGAAATTTTGAAGCTCTTTTGTCATGTTTTCTGTAGCATAGAATAATAGAAGATTGCATTCTCTTAAGCTCATTATTGGATTATGTTATGTAGGATTTGAGGGAAAAAGATGGTGTTCCTGATCTACGCCTTGGGGCTAGGTCTAAATATGCAAGTGTAGATTCACCTGAGGTATGTCTTATTTCAGCAAAACATCTCCAGTGGTACTTGATTTTCTTTTAATTTGGATACATTTTTATAGAGAAAGAATTGTACCTGCCTAATCATTCAGTGATTGCTTGAGAGTTCCTATGTATGCTTACCCTGTTTTAAACTTTTTTAATAATTAGCAAAAACAACAACTCCTATGCAACTCTCCTTGCTTGAATTTCAAAGGGGGTGAAATAACCAAAAAAATGTTCATTGATAACTACTTCGTTTGATTTTATTCCTTAGATCAAAGGCCCAGTTAGGAGTATGCTTAAAGGTGGAAGAGAGGTTGATGATGCCTTACTGGCAGTTGTCATCCGAAACTTGAAATTGGTGAAGGTATGCTGTTAGAACTGAGGCATAAACTTTGTACCCGCCTTCCGATATTTCTTCACAATAAGTTTAGTATTTTTGTCACCTGCCACTGTAGGGTGATTCAAAGGTCATAGTTATGGATTATAATGGAGCTCGATCAAAAGCCATTGCTAGGTTACTGAAGAAACTCGGTGTGCAGGCAAATTTCGAGTGCTTTGGTCTTCACCAGTATTGCATTGGCATGTATTCTCTCCCCTGTCTAACTTTGAATGTTTGGGTGCAGCGACCTTACCTTGTTAAAGGTGGTTTCCAAGCATGGTCAAAGAACCTTCGTGTCAAAGAACTGAAACCTGAGACTGCATTAACGTCAATAAATGAGGTAAAAAGAATCAAAACAAGAAACTCACCTGTGAACCAAAGGATTGCGCCAGTTATGGCAATCTTGTTTAGTTCTTATATTCTTTCGAGATCATGTTTGTAGTATTTATTATCACTCGACCAGTATCATTTGAATAGTTCATAGATGTTAGCTCTTGTGTGTTTTAACATGCTTCATAACTCAATGATCTGCAAAATTGTACCTCTTTATTCTCGATCACCCACACTATTGTCTCAAAATATGCAGGACATTGAGGAAATCATCGAACAAATAAAGCCCACCCCAACTCTAGTGTTTGGATCTCTTCTGGTAGGTCACTAGTCTTATTCTCATGTTATTGCCTTTTGCTCATGTTGGTACACTGTATTGCTCTTCCTGAACATTTTGCAACTAATTTTGTATTATATTTGGTAAGAGCTTGTGCCTTTAAAAGTTCAAGTGTGCATACAACAAAGAGCACCTTTTTTACCTTTATGTTGTCTTTGTAGCCCTTAGATGCATGATTTTTTTCACGGAAATTGTTGGATGCATTTTTTTCTTGACAATGTTGTGTCTCTTTTTTTTAACAGGGCCTCTCAGCACTTTCCTATGCTTTACTCGGTAAGTGTATAAGTAAATTATGTTGTTGTCTGATTCATACTTCGTACATTGCTTGGTTAAGATGCCTGCATGATACCAGAACAGTAGGCTCTCCTGACTCCTGAGACCAGCCTAAAGAACTAGTCCTTGTGTTCCTAAACGTTCAGTACAAGCCATGTCCTAAACACTTGCTCTATATTTTTTGAGTGGATGTCCTTGAATCATTGTTGGATATTTGTCGTTGGATTTTCTGGAATCTGGTTAGAAGAAACAAGTGTGCTGCAGCTGAATTAGAATATTGATTTTGGTTAACTGACTATATATCACTATGCCCGCAGAATGGGAGACGACTTTGCAATACATCGCTGTTTTAAGCGTTGGGCTGGTATGGAGTACGTTTGACAGTTAACTTATTTGTTTGTTCAATATGGATGCATCTGTCTCTCAAAAAAAAAATGCACCTGCATCTCTGGGAAACACTAATATAACTCGGCACTTCTACAAAACTGTTAACTGCAAATATATATCAATTTGCAAAATGTGGCAGCAACGCAGTTTGCCTGATATTTTTCTTTTATTCTGGATAGACTATCTACTTGCGATTCTCTATATATGAGCGTTCTGAGGACTTGGAGCAAGACCTAAAGTAAGTTACCCTGAATTCCCCCTTGTTTTCCTGTTCTTGTATAAAAAAAATCCGTTTCTGTTGGTTTTAAGATTTGGAATTGCCCCTTGATGAACGACGAAAAGATGATTACAAGTTTCCTCCTGCTCTCTTGGCTTAGGCTGTTGCTGTCTCCAGTAAGAGTAGGCGCAGACGCCGTGTCATGGGCAGCTAAGAAGATAGAGCCAAACAAGGTGGGCCTGCCGACGTCCCCTTCCACGACGGCGGTGAAAGACCGGGTTCTCCAGGCCGCGGCAAAGCACGAGTCGCAGCCATCGGACGCCGAAGAGTCGTCGGCCCAAACAGCCGAGGCATGACGCGCTGAAAGGTTGGGAGCCAGTCGAGCGGATGAGCGCAAGAGGTTTCTGATGTAATTTGTGAATTCGATGTCGTTTCTGATGTAAGGAGTTGGTTTTGAGTCACTGTAAAGCAGCTGTAAATTAATTGTGTGAGCAGCATCTGTAAGTTGTGTGTGTGTAGACTATAGAGAAACAGGTGTCAGTGTTAATTCGTGTTGCGCATCTGCTACTCTGCTTGGCACGCAATCAAGGTGAGGGTGAGTTCAGTAAAAATGGTCAGTGGTCCAAGTCCAGTCCAACTACTTGGCTGTCAGGTGTAGCTACAACCTTTGGAGTACGGCTGTTTTAAACCCCATAGTGCCTGCCGAAATGCTGCTCGGTTAAATGGGTACAGACTACATTAATCCGTTGGATACTTCGTTAGTTGGTTTGCATTTCGCCGCTTCCAGTCCCCGCCGGAAGCCCCAAAAGGCGAAAAGGAACGGTGCTGCGCGCATAGGATCCGAGTCGAAGTCGACTGCTTCTCCAGTGGGGCAGCAACGTCTCTCTTCTCATGCCAGTGGACTGTGGACCCCCGCGCTCCCCTCCCTCCGGACCCCACGCACCAGACTAGCCGTTGCCCCTCGCGGGTCGCGGCCTCACTCCTCGCCACCGCCGCGCCGCCAGCCCCAACGGGCAAATCCTCCGCGCCACCCCGCCCCGCGAGGGCATAAGTACCCGCCACTCCGCCGCTCCCACTCCACCACTCCAAACCTCCCTCTCTGGCTCTCTCGATCTCGACCCGCAAGCCAGCGGCATCCCGCTCCCTCGGCAGGCTTCCAAGACCCAACCCATCAGCAACAGCTTCCGAGCGAGTCCGGCGGCGGCGATGGCGGGCAAGTCGCACACGCGCAAGGCGTTCCTCCTCTGCAACTACGTCCTCCTGGGGGCCGCCTCCAGCTGCATCTTCCTCACGCTGTCGCTGCGCCTGCTGCCGTCCCCGTGCGGCCTGCTCCTGCTCTTCCTCCACGCCCTCACCGCCGTCTTCTCCGCGGCCGGCTGCTCGGGCTCCTTCACGGCGCCCGCAACGCCAGCGCAGTGGCACAACGCGCACACCGCGGGCGCCGCGCTCACCGCCATCTTCCAGGGCGCCGTCGCGCTGCTCGCCTTCACCCGCACCTCCGACTTCCTCGCCGAGCTCCAGTCCTACGTCCGCGACGAGGACGGCGCCGTCATCCTCAAGATGGTCGGCGGGCTCGGCACGGCCATCTTCGTCCTTGAGTGGGCCGCGCTCGCGCTCGCCTTCTCCCTCCGCCTCGACGACGAGGACGACGACGACCTCCAGACCAAGAACTGGCAGTCGTACCATGTCTGATGCCCCGTCCACTGCTGGTCTTAAATTGCTCCTTCAGAATGATACTCCTATATGAACAAGATTCGTTGATTCTTTGCCGTCTGTTCTAGTATGTCCTATTGCTGTAATTCTTTTGTACTATTGTGTACTCCTATGCCTGTTCAACCAAAAATGTTCAATGCCAAAGCAAATATATATTGCTTTTGTTGCCTTTGCTACTATTTACATGTACATTCATCAGATTTGGTGCAAACAGGTTGTAAAAAACCAATTTCTGCACAAAGCTGTCTTTTGATAAGCAACAAGTGTTTGCTCGCAGTCAGACTAAAACAGATGCACTTCAATTGAGCAGTCACAGGACACATTGCTTATTCGCCAGAATCAGCATAATGTTCACAACAAGTTGCAGATGGGCAATTTCAGAACAATGCCTTGCGTTAACAATAGGACAGATACATGTTAATCACATCAAGGCCAAATAATTGAACTGAATATCCTCCATGAATAAAAACCTACTTTCCAGCTAAAATTACAACATGTCCAGCACTGGAAACATAATCCAGATCTCCATGTTGTCACTAAGATCATCTTCCATCGGTGATGTTGCGAAATTGAGTTGCACTTCCATAGCCTTTGTACATGAACCGCTGAGCTTTCTGCTCATCTGGATTCATAGCTTCATTGTCCCCTGATCCAACTTTCAGGGTATCTTTTTAAAAACTCTACTGCTTTGAGGGGAACAGATTGATCTGAGGAGCTTCGGTGCCACCTTTTGTTTTAGATTTGAACCGCAACTCAGGAGAAGCAGCCAGAGCATTGACAGCCTCTTCTGGAGGTAAACATCTCTTCGAGAAGTACGTGGCTATGCTTTTATTCTTCTTGGATTTCACTGAAAACAAGTAATATGATTGGTAAGAAGATTTTCCAAGGACAAATATGCAGGGATCCTACTTCTGAAACAAAAGCAAATTAATTAATACAGGTACCTGGTGACGAATCCAATCCTAGCTTATCAAGAATCTCTTTCTTTACCTGCAGAGAAACAGTACATAAGATGTTAAATCCATTTTGCCCTTGGAGGTGTACTAAACAAAACCATGCTACTGACACAGAAACTATGAATAATCAGGCACAGGATTTTTTCAATGTGAGCATCCTCACCTTCCAATGATTGTCAATAAAGTCAGATATCTCCCTCACTTTACGATTCAGTTGAGTCTTTGGAACATTTGGAAATTTGTGCTGCAGTAATTCCACCACCTTGTGGATACCATCTCGACATGATCTTATCACCTGGACCTGCATTGGGGTTAAAGCAAAATGAGAACTACAGCTGCATGCTATCTTCAAACAATAGATACCAATTGCTAATATTCACTCGGTGCTTACAATTTCTGGCAGGTCTGTTTCTGGTATAGCAGATGCAGCCCCAGGAGAGCCATTCTTCACATTGGGCTGGTTAGTTTCCTCAACAGTTGAAGATGAGCTGTCAGTTAGAGGCACATCAACAACTGCACCTCCTGGACAGATGCACATTGAAAGAACTTGCAAGCATAACTGCTCAATCTTTGCCATTCCCTTGAGGTCTTCGGCAGTCAGTAATTCAGCTTTTTCGTGATTTAGGTTGGATATAATAAGAGGTTGGCTCTTCCGGAGAGCTTGCTCGGTCAAAGTGTTCAGGACTCTTTGTTGACGCAGTAGAGACCTGAACTCTTCAACTTCTGTACACTGACCAGTTGGTGAGCTACTGGCTTCCTCATCTTTATCATCCAATAGGCTTTCAATTTGTATTCCCTGCAGGAAGTGAACTCCAACAGTGAAACAAAGAATATTGCACATTTAATTGAGGAACAATAGCACCTGGCATCACATATAGTAGGACCAAGATTACTAAAATAGCGATCATGAATCTGATTGGAACTTCAATGTTAGGATCACAAATCTTAGGATTATAACTACTAGAATCATAATATCCTATTCCTAGATTCTACTTAACAGAGTCATAGAATCGACACAATCAACTAAGATTGTGAAGCCATAAAATTAGATGACAGAATCACAGTTTTAACAACTATGGATAGAACAGATATGAAAGTATATTATAACTCAAGAAAAGCACATGGATGGATTCATATATAGAACTTGTATCTTCCTAATTTCTACTGAACTTGTGTACACTTGTTTTATCCCACTATTTTATTTTCTTAACCATGGAATACAGTTCTCACTGTTATCATTCTTTCAGCAGATATAAGAGATTAGTAGATAACCTTTTACAGAATATATCATGTACCTCTCTAGGGTTGAGAATTGGAGTTTGCTGGTTTGATACCTAAGCATAGCAGATTAACCAATATTTGGTTCGCACTTTTGTCAATATAAAACTGGTATGTGGCTTTACTAATTGAAACTAGCATGAAAAGTCGCATTGCACCAAGACAAATGAGGAACTCAAATTAGAAAAGGAGACATCACTTATTTAATATATACCTCATTGTCTGAGAGATAGCCATCAGGCACAACAAAGCTATCTTCATTCTCTTCATCTGTAATTTTGGAATCTTCTTCCATAAATTCATCATTATCCTTCTCACAGTCAGAAAGACTCTCGCCAGGATCCTCCTGTGCAGAAAACAAAATATGAATTTTTTACCAAAAGATAAGAAAAAAAGATGCTAGAATATCAGCAAGTACCTCTTCCCATTCATCATCACTATCAACCTCGTAGTCAAGATCAGGATCCATCTTAAGTGGACACCTTGGACCAATAACAGCACTGCGGATAATTTTAGAATAAATCATGATATAGCACTAAAATATAAAGTGATGATAAATTATAGGCAGCATGAATATTGAAATGCCAACCTTTTCTTCCTCCAGGATCCATAATACGCTGGCCTGTTACTTTTGTCAAATTGCAGAAGCTTCTTTCTAATTAATCTAGTTTGCAGAGGTTTAGGGTTACTGGTGACATGACATTGCACCTCACTAGCCTGTAGCATATCAATGTCACTTTCAAGCTTATCATGTTCATTCTCCTGACTTGAATTGTGGCCGCCATCTTCATTTGGAGCTGAAAGTATTTCATCGACCATATCATCTGAGGATTTCTGAAGCTTCAGCTCTTTAAATGCCTCCATCTTGGGCTTGCATCTTATACCCCATCTGGAGGACCTATTGTAGCTAGATAGCTTCTTCCAACCAGTGACCTGCAACCTGTAACCAATGTTCATTAAGTCCCTTCACTTTTAGTAAGTGTGAAAGTGAAAAAATAATAGAGTTCAGGAAATGTTGCTAACCTCCGAAGATCCTCTAAAACCCAGCTCTCTTGTTGAGACAATGAAGAATCAATTTTCGATGTGGTTGCTGGTATTGTCTCTTTGTTGTCATTGCATTGATCGTCAGCTGAGTTGTTCTCTCCAGGTTTTTGAAGTTTTCCACTGTCTTTCTTACTCTTGAAAAAACGTTCCATCATAGAAGCTTGCTTTTGAATGGCTAGTTGCTTCTTGAGTTGTGCAGCTTCCTTCTCAAGGCGCTTCTGTTCTTTCTCAGCTTCCTCTTGCTGTTTTTTCTGTTGTTTCTTCATTTCAGCTTCTTCCTTTTCACGACGCTTCTGTTCTTTCAGTGCTTCCTCTTCCTGCTTCTTTTGTTGTTTCTTAACTTCAGCCTCCTCCTTTTCACGTCTCTTCTGTTCTCTTAGGGCCTCTTCTTGCTGTTTCTTTTGCAGTTTTCTCATCTGAGCTTCTTCTTTCTCCTGGCGCTTTATTTCCTTCTCCACTTGTTTTTGTGCTTTCTGAATCTCTTTTTCCTGGAATTCAACAATATAACATTATTAGATTGTGGGAAAAGCAATTGTGTGTGATTTCAATGATTCACTATTGCTGTAATGAGTGGTGCACTAGGATGAGTGGTGCACTCTCCCAGTTGGTGGTTTTTGGGGCTGGTTTCCACTCAAAAAACTGGGCCTACACTTGTATTTTTCATTTTCTTCGTCTAATATAAATCACGTCAAAGCTTTTTGTCGTCCCTTCTAAAAAAACTATTGCTGTAATATTATGACATGGTCTCAAGAGAGAGGGGAAAAAAGGAACAAAGCACAGCTACAAGCACTATATGCACCGAATAAGCAAATTTCTAAGATAAACATGAAAAACAGCCATCTCATCATATCAAACCTATTAAAAATGCTACCATTCCTTTATCATTTGTCATATCTGATTACCCAAAGGTTAGGCTACACACTATCTGGATTTAAGGAAGTGTCTAGGTAAAGGCAACTGAAGTACTACTAATGCAAGAAAATGATGGTGTATCGTCATCCACATATTGACATTCAAACAAACCAAACATTGACGGTTGGAAGAAGATACACTAAAATGCAACTGTTGAAATGCTATTAGCATGGCTCAAGCACAGTGCAATTAACAAATCAAGTACTTACATTAGCAGGCGAGTTTCCATTCTGCAGCTCAGAGACACTAGTATCCTCAAGTCTTCTAATATTTTGGTCATTTTTCTCTGTCTCTTGCATCAATTCCTTAACTGCTGATCCAGTATCTTTCACAGCCCTTTATTGAAAAGGCTTACACATTAGGACTTTCAGAACCTCAGGGAGAAAAGAAAATGTGCATGTGAATCCGCACAAATGCATCAGTAATATGCAAGAGGGTACACACCGTTCTGTGTTCTTTTGTGTCACTCTTTCCACCATTGATCTGATCCCTTCAAGGTTCAGTGATTTGTTTAATTTTAATGATGCCTTTTTTAGATCATTTACTTGGACGTAAGCTCCTGGGTTTTCAAGAACCGACAAAGTTGCTGCCAGTGATACATTTGATCAGTGAGTGAGCCAGTAAATAAGGAATAGGTAATCAATGTTACAGGTTATATGAATACATGCATAGATATAAGTTGATTTAGCATCAAGCTACTTTGAAAGAAATTAACAGAAAAGCATACCAGTTCATTTTTTTTTAAAAAAACAGCAAAGCATACCAAGTTTCTTCCTGTTGGGAAGAGAA